AAGAGTAGAAATTAAATGTTCTCACACACAAAAAAGAATACATATGTGAAGTGATGAATGTGTTAATTAACTAGATGGGGGGAATGTTACATGTATATGTATAGTAAATCATCCTGATGTACACTTTAAATAACTTACAATTTTATATGTCAATTATACTTCAATAAAGTTGAAATAAAAATAAATGAATAAAAGGTAGACAGATAAAAAGAAAAATAATGTGGTCACTTAATAGTCACTTTCAAGACGGATAAAGGATTTATTGTTAAGTGAAAGACAAAATGGCAAAACAGTGGGCATTTAGATTCCACTTTGTAAAAAAGAATAACACAAATTGATAAAATATCAGGGCTGGTTGCTGGGGAAGGGCTAAGCTAAAGGACTAAACATTGGTTCTCCCTGAGGTAGACAGAGGATTACTAGGAGCTTCCATATTATATGTTTCTAGACATATGGTCTGAATTTTCTATCATGAAATTCTATAATGAATCTATACGGTATGAATTTTCTACAATGAATATGCATCAGTTCTATAAATCCCAAAACAAAGATAATCACGTTCCTAGTTTACAACACATGCTCACATTTAATACAGTCCAATTCAGCAGCACGTACTGCACCTAATGATGGGCCCTGGGCCAGGGGGAGAGGCAGCTTCTGTGTAGGACAAGAGGAAAGGATGTGCAGGCAGGGAGACAACCTGCTGTGTACCTTGGGAAAACCACCAAACTACCCTGAACCTCACTGTCCTCTTTTTATTTTTATTTTTATTTTTTTTTGCGGTACGCGGGCCTCTCACTGCCTCTCCCGTTGCAGAGCACAGGCTCTGGACGCGCAGGCCCAGCGGCCATGGCTCACGGACCCAGCAGCTCTGTGGCATGTGGGATCTTCCCGGACCGGGGCATGAACCCGCGTCCCCTGCATTGGCAGGCGGACTCTCAATCACTGTGCCACCAGGGAAGCCCCCTCACTGTCCTCTTTTTAAAGAAAGATGTGACAGTAAATGTGAGATGAAATGAAAGGACAGACATGGACGTTCTGGGCATGTGGTCATCACTGGGTGTCATCTCACACAATCCCTGAACAGCCCCTAGGGTGGGTACCATGAGTATCTCCATTTTACAGAGGAGAAGACTGAGGTTCCTAGAGGTGGACTGAAAATCCAGATCACACTGAGAGTAGTGGGTGGAGTCAAGATGCAAATTCTGTTGAGTCCCAGGCCAGAACCCCCAGCCCAGTCCTGCCTGCCCTCCCACTGTCCATCCGCTCCCGGTTTCCAGAGAGAGGCGTCACTGTCAAGACCACGTGACAATCACCTTGTGGCTGATGTACTGTTATCTGTCTCTCTCTCCCACTGGAAGGTCAGCTCCACAAGGGGGGACTTAGTTTCATTCCCTGTTATATTCCAGGAACTAGAAGGGAGCCTGGCACAGAGCAGGTACTACATGACAATTTGTGGAGTGAATTCAGGAAAATATGCAAGAATTGCCTACTAAAGAACCAAAGAAAGCGACCCTGGGGCTCACGGAGGGGAAGGTCAGGGGGCTGAGCAGGACCCGGGCCAGGTCCCTCGCTCGCACTGAGCCCTGCGTCTCCCGAATCCAACAGCCTCAGCTCATCCCCACCCCTGTCCTCAGCCACCCAGGACCACGGGAGTGAATTAGTCCAGTCCAGGGAAGGGTCAGGACCAAAGTGAAGACGGCCCATCCAGTTCTGGCTACACTTCTGCCTGCAGTGCTCTTTGTGCCTCAGTTTCTCACTCTAGAGCATGGGCACCTGGTGCTCCAAGGAGAGGAGGCGGAGAAGGGCTCAGCAGGAACATGCAGAGGTGGTCTCTGCTGCCTCATTCCTCCCTCAGGGCTGGCTGGGCCGGCTGAGGCCCTCGGGGGTCCAGCCAGTCACACCGAGCTGGGCGGAGGGATGGGTGGTGGTGTGAGAAGCTGCCTCCGAGGAGCCACAGGGCCGGAGCTGGGAGGCACCTCATTTTTCTGACACCATCGCTGTGGACTGGACAGGAAAGCAGAGGCCCAGAGAAGGGAAGGGATGTGGCTCGGGACGTGCAGGAGTCCACGGCAGGCCCAGGAGGGACAAGAACCTGGGCGCTGCCTCCCAGATCAGGGCCTCCTCCCCTGAGCTCAGGCGGCACCAGGGACAGGCTCCGTCTGCTCCTCGAGGGCACTGGCCCCGTCACTGTGTCCTGGCCAAGGGGAGCCAAGAGTCCACAGGCGGCAATGGACAGGCAGGGCCCAGCTCTGACCGCAGCCCTGGCCCCCAACTCAGGCCCTGTCAGTCACGACACGGCTCCTAAAGCATCTGCTCAAAAGCAGAGGCCTGACCCCTGGACGGCAGGCCCAGGCCTCTGGGTCCTACAGGTGCCACTGACGGTCAGGGGCCCGGCAAGCACCAGGCCCGGCTGGCTTCTCAGGAGCTGATGAGGCCGATAGGAGAGGTGGAGCTGGAGCCAACAGGTGTGGGAGCCTCGGCGTGGGCGCTGATGCCACAGCGACTGCTGTTAGACTCCATGGTGGTTCAGGGGCCGCTGACCTTCAGGGGCCTGGAGCCGGGGCCTCCAAAGGAGGAAACAATCCTGGTAGGTTCCATCCCCCACATCAGCCTAGGTAATTACCAGTTAAAACTACTCGAACTGAAGGAGTTTTACTAGTGCGATTAGTACATGAGAATAAAGAAGGCCCTCAGACAGCTGGCTGGACTGCCCACAGGCCAGGCTTCCACTGAACAAAGATCCGCTTGTTAATCCACAGCGTCAGAGGCCTTAGATCTTCATGAAACACCCAGAGGTGGTGTGGGAAGAAACTGGGATTTGGAATCCACAGCCTGGATGATGCCATGGATGTGCTGTGTGACCCTGGGTTGGTTATTTAACCTCTCTGAGCCCATGAAATGAGGCTGGTAAAACAGCTTCCCAAGTTGCTGTATGGGTGAAATGAGTATTTATAGGACTATGGAACTTCAAATGCTAGTTTTTATTCAAAAACAGATAGAAACACCTTTGGCTGACTTCAAAAATCTGTTTCTGGGTTTCACATGTCTATAAGACATGTGGGGACATTTCCATCACATCCACACCAAGGCTGAGCGGCAGCTGGGAGGGTCTGGTATCAGCACTGACCAGGGCCAGGTTCACCCTAAAAAGGGGGCTGACTTTCTGCCCCTCCCCCTCTATCAACCTATCACACAACAACTCTGAGGAGCCCCATTTTACAAGCAGAGATCTGAGGCTCAGAGAGGGCAAGGGACTTCCCTAAGATCACAGAGCAGAAGCTGGAGGGCAACCAGCTCCTCCTGAGCTCAGGGTGCTGCTCGACTCACAGCAGCAGCTCCCACCAGGGCTGTGCACCCCTTGCCCCAGGGGATGCTGGGGGAAGAGGGACATGGGCTAGGCGGTGACTCACTCAGATGGACGGCTCCCCTGGAGGCATTCTCAGGGTGACTGCATCCACAGCTCTTCTTGGTCCTGAGCCCGGGGTCAGCTTGCCCCCAGCACGGAGCTCCAGCCTCAGTTCCACATGTGGTCGCCTCTGTCCCAAGTCCCCACCCCTGCCCTCTAACCAGGAAGGTGGCATCTAGAACCCGCCAGCCCAAGTCCTGTGCCTGGCACTGGGCTCTCCGCAGAGGTTAACGGCTGCCTCCTGCTGCTCGCTCCCCCACCTGAGCCCATCACGAGCTCTGGTTTGGGGGGGAAGGGCCTCCTTGAGGCAAATGGCTGAAGACCCACAAAACTTACTGTCACTCTGACCCCTGGGTTCCTCTGCCGAAATCCCTCTGAAAGCTCTCTCCACCTTGAAAGCCTGCCCTCCTGACACAGAAATGTCACCTCCTTGAGCTTGGCCACATAGAGGCCACATTGTCCTGAGCAAGACACTGCCTCTCTGAGCCTCACTGTCCTCATCTGGGAGATGGGGATGAATGTCATGTCGCTAACAAGGTTGCTGGGAGGGTTAAGAGCGGTGCTGTAGGTGAAGGGAGGCTGGTGACCATGTCAAGGGTCCTCTCCCTGCTCTGGGTCCCACAGCTCTCCCCGCCTGGGGCTGAGCTGTAGTCCTTGGGTCCCCAGGTCCAGCCTAGTGTCTGCCTCAGCTCAGACTCCTGCCCCTCACTGGCCACAGACAGGAGGCAAAGCAGGTGGGGGACATATGTTCATGAATGTAGATTAAAGAGAGTTTAGTAATGGAAAACTTATCTTTGAGAACTTTAAGGGTAAATGGCTCCACGATTTGGAGTATAATTTCTGCAGAGAGGAAAAGCTGGGCTTTACGTGGGAGAACAAAGAGGGTCCAAGCTGCCCATCAGGTCATTCAATGGCCTGGACACTCATTCCATGACAAGCCAAGTCCCGGGTGTGAGCCCAGGGTGACAAGACCACAGTCCCTGCCCCGCTGAGCTCAGAGTCTACTCCTTCTCCACCGTCCCACCCCGCAGCAGCACCCCACCCCAACGTGGCCCAGGGAAGAGGCTGCTGTGGACTCAGAACATCTGGGTCCTCATCTCTACTCTGGTGCTTTGATGATGTGACCAGGGTTTTCCACGCTGAACTTTGTCCCTCTCTTCAGTACTGCCCCTATCAACGTGACAGCATCACAGCCTCTGTTTACTCATCTGCCTCCCTTCCCAGGACCAGACTGTCTTCCTGGCACTGCCCGCGTCCACCCAACACTACGTGAATCTTACCATCGGGTGTGTTTGGCCGCGGGTGAATGTACGCCTCTGGGACTCACATCCCTCATCTGTCCCTGCTGGATCAGCAGCTCACCACCCCCCACCCCCCTGAGACTTCGCTGCCCTGACCCGGGCGGTTTACCCTCCCGCGGTACCTTGTCCACGACAAGGTGATTCCCCGTTCCCAGCAGGGCGCTCGCCCTGCCCGAGGTGGCGCACACGCCCCTGCAGCCCGCGCCCAGCCTCCGAGGGGCCCCTCGGCCAGCCGTCCCCCACGTGCCTTCTCGCGGGGTCGCCGCCGCCCACCCCGGGCCCGCTCTCACCCATGTTGACGAAGCTCATGACCAGGTCGGCGCGGCCCAGGCGCCGCTCGGGGGTCCCGCCGTCCTCGTCGTCGTCGCCGGCCATGGCGCGATACAGGTCCAGCATGAAGAGCGGCGCGGACGCGGGCAGCCGGGCGGCGGCGGGCGGCGCGCGGGGCCGGGGCCGCCCGGGCAGCCGGAGCACCGCCAGGATCTCGCGCTGCAGGTCGCGGCGCTCGCGCGGGCCCAGGCGCCGTTGCGGGCAGCCGGGCGAGGGGCGCGGGCCAGAGGCGCCGCCGCCGCTCAGCGCGCACAGCGCCAGGCCCAGCAGCCAGAGAGGCCCAGGGCGCGCGGCCATGGCGGGACCTGGGCGGCCTCACCGCGCGCGCATCCGCTCCCGGCCGGGCCCGGGGCTGGGGCCGCCCCGACGGCGAGCGGCGGGCCGGGCTTGGGGCCGGCGGGACGGGGCGGGCGTCGCCCGCGAACGCAGCGCGGTCCCTAGAGCGCCCGGCCCGCGGCGCCTGTCGTGGCTCCGGGTAGTCGGATGGGGCCGCACCTCGTCGGGCAAGGGCTCCTCCGGGGACCGGGGATCGTCGGCTAGTCTGTGCCGCCGCGCCAGACAGGCCGGCTGCTGCCGAGGCAGCTCAGCTCAGAGGCGGAGAGCGAGCTCCCGCCGGGCTCCGGGAGGCGCGGACCCTCAGTCTGTGCCGCGCGCCCCGGGCCGAGGTGGCCTCTCTCAGTCCAACTTGCAGCCGTCGGATCCCGCCCCCTCCGGACCCGACCAATGGGGGCACAGCGGCGGGACCAAGGCCGCGGAACAGACGCCCCAGGAAGGGGCTCCGGATGCCAGGTGTTGGCGACCTGAGATGCGACCCGCTGGTAGGTGGGTAGGTGGTCGGCGAGGAATCCCTAGCCCAGCCGTCGGGGGCCTCGAGGTCGTCCTGGGCTCCCCTCCCGCCGCTGGCCGCGCTGTCGGGCGGGCGCGGGGACTCGGCCTGGGGACCCAGGGTTAGCGGAGCGGTTCGGGGAGATCGGACCCTGCCCTCCCGCGGGGCGTGTCCTGCGGTCACCCTGCCCAGGTGGCATCCCAACTCTCGGTCCGGCCTGAGGAGTGACCCCGCAGCCCCTCCTGGTGCACGAGTGTCGCTCCAGGACCGGAAATGCCTCAGTCGGGTCTAGAGGTAGAGGGGCCCCGCGGGTGACAGGCAGGCCCGAGAGTGGGGCGCATCCCTCTGCCAGCAGCCGGGCCCGGGTTCCCAGCCACCGCAGCTCCTCGCCGGCCTCTTGGTGCCTTCTCCGCAGTCCCCTTGCGTGCGCCTTTGGGAGCTCTTTCCCGGACACCTGACGCCGGCTCCGTCACTGCTCCTGGCGCGCCCACCCGCCTGGTTTCCGCGCGCTCCCGGCTGGCGCCTCCGGCGGGCCGCCCCGGCAGCTCCAGCAGCCGCACTGCCACCACTAGGTCTGGCTGGGCGCCCTTCGGACCCCGGTGCGCGCGGGATACGCGCACCCGCTTCCCGCCTCCCGCCGGTCAAGGAGCTCTGGTGCCCTTCCTGAGCCTTTGCGCATCTGAATTGTCACGGCCCTCAGCGGCTTGCGAGAGAAGGCTCCTCACGGAAACTCCTCCATTGACTAGACCCGTTCTGCACACCCTGCTCTTCCCTAGGCGCCTTCTCACCGCATTTATTCGTTTATGGTTAAGGCGCCGCGCTGAGAGGAAGAGACACTTAGACTGAGCTCTGAAGGCCGGAAGGAATTGGTTGGGTTGAAGGAAAGGTCAGTGGGAGGAGAATGTTCCAGGCAGAGGAAATAGCTTGTGCGAAGGCCGAGACTCCAAGGAGCATAACAGTGGCAGGTGACAGTGAGCACCGTCCATGTGCCAGCCGTGTTCTGTACCATTTCTTCGTGCTCACACGTTGTCATTGGGTGGATACCTAACCGCCCCTCCCCCACCTCACTTAACAGACGAGGTGACTGAGGCACACAAGGGTTAAGGGACTTCCCTCAGGTCACACAACACTGGAGCTGGGCTGCAGCAGGTGGGCACATGCAGGTGAGCTGTTCAGTGGAGGCTGGAGAGCCTGGGGGGCAAATGGCCAGGTGAGGGGCTCTGGACAGCAGATGGTTACGGCGTCCCAACGTGGGTTCAAGATTAAACTTCAAAATAAAGGTATGATGTCCAGTAAAATTCACATTTCCCCAAGATCACTTCAAACTTAAAAAATATCAAATCTTAAATCCAATCATTTGCTGGTGACTTAAGTCCATGCCTAGTCTTCCTTCTACTCAACAGGTAAAACTCCACCAGGCTGCTGAAGCTGGATGAGAATGCCACAGATGAGCCAGTGAAAGTTCTCAAGAAAAGACCAGAGCCTGGATGCAGAGGGGACTATGGATTGGAGGGAGGGAGATTGGAGTCAGGGCCCACAGCTGGAGACAGGTACAGTAATGGGAGGGGTCGGGGGATGTTGACAATGATCCTCTAATGGAGAATCATTAGAGGAATGGAGGGCAGAGGAGAAGGCTCTTAGGAGGGCAAGTCCACAGCGCTTGGTGACTGCATGCAGAGGCAGGGGGCAGAGTCAAGGGGGTGTTCCCTTGTCAGAGCTGGTCAGGGTCTCTGAATTTCCTGCCCCCTTCAGTATCCCTGGGCATCCTTCTGCATTCCCTGAGCCCATACATCACTGGAGGTCTCAGATCTAGCCTGTAATTCTCCAGTTGTGTATCGTAAACTGCTGGCCTCCCAGCAAGACTGCAAGCAGCCCAGTGCTGGTCTGATTCATAGAAGTCATTTATCTCAATTTAGGATGAGTGAAGATGGCTGTGCTCTTTAAACAATGGCTTCACGTTCCCATAAACCAGTGGTGCTGCTCCGTGCTGTGGCCTGAGCCAGAGATGAAGCCGACCAGCTCCCTGCCCTCTAGTGGCTCCCAAGGGTCACCCCAGGGGTGACAGGTGAACATGCAGTCTTTTTGAAGGCAAAACAGAGGTTGTGCTCTGACAGAGGGGCCGGCAAATTGCCTGGATGGGCAGAGGAAGTGGGGACAGGCGATCTGTGAGTGGAATCCTGGAACTCCTCAACTGGATGGGAACTGACATGGGGAGGGTGTCTTGGAGAAAGTTCTGTCAAACAAGGGCTTCCCCAGCCACCTGGCAACTCTGTGACCTTGGGCAAGTTACTGAACCTCTCTCACGTTGTCTCTCACCTACCAGTGAGGCTCACGATTGTAGGACTGTGATGGGAATTACATGAGAATGTACACAGAGCACTTAGCACAGTGACTGGCACACAGGAAGCACTCAATACATGTTAGCTATGGTTATTCAAAGGCCCAGAACCTGCCCTCCTCTATCCTAGCAGACACCAAGTTTGCATTACTTGTTTAGCACTTGTATCACAGAACTGCAGTTTTAACCCCTTTCCTGCCATCCCTGTATTTCCCACATGGTCTTGCACACAGGTGTTCACTGAATGGAAATACACTTCCTGCAGATTGCACCACTAGCTGAGCTTTGTTGCAAAGACTGAAGGAAAACCTGAATTACTTGGTAAGAAAAACAAGTGACCACGGTCCAGACTTTGAGAAGATGGAGGTCAAGCTCCTTTCAGCATGCTTCTGCAGCCAGGAGGCCGAGAGGGGGAAGCAGATTTGGGTGGAAACGCCACCCTACAAAGTTCTGGCAGCCTGACGTTATCCAATTCCATGGAGAATACAGTAAGCGCTTCCTTCAGAATCCATCAGGCTGCACATTCCTTCTAATCTGGGTATTTGGCTTCCAACAGCTTTGGCAAACGTGTGTCCATCTTACCAAACTCCCCTATCACAAGGGGAGTACGGCCTAATGATGAAGAACACAGGTGGCTGACGTTCAACCCCTCTTATCTCTCAAGTTCCCTAGTTATTTCTTAGTCTAATTCCTGTCATCAGAATTAGTTAATATTTGGCCATTCTAAATATTATAAAGCCAACCAGGGACTGGAGGGAAGAGAACTGCCTGACTTGGACAGGGAGCCGAGGACTAGATTCAAGGTCCTCTTCTGCCATTTATTCATTAGGTGATCTCAGGCAGATGACTTTCTCACCCACTTTCCCATTCGTTTCTCCTTCTGTAAAACAAAGGAGGTAAGACTTGATGACCAATTTTGTTTCTACCTCTGAAATTCTACCACTTAACCAGAAATATCAGCATACTGTGAGAAACTGGCCCCATTCTCTCAAAACCCGGGATCTGTGATTTCTAAAACAAAAATCTTCTTACATACTGGTTATTTGTTTAATCACATAAGTGGGCCAGATAGCCCTACAGATTTACATAACAACAGTCTGATCCTTTGTTCCCTTGTTAAATAAAATTAATGAGGATAAAATATATAAGAAGAAATCTATTAATGAGCTCCATAATTTATCCATCAAGATATCTGGATCTGAATAATGCACCGAAGTACCTAAAAGAGTCATGTTACACATAAGGTAATGGTTCAGAAGTAAAGCAGGAAATACAAAATATTTGTTACTGCAAGCAATTTTAATACAAAAGTGTGTCTTGTTTTTAAACAGTTCATTGGTAGAGCTTCAGTTTCTGCCTCAATTAAAATCAATTGAGATAATCACACAGCAACGTGGTCGGAGCTGCAGAGGAACAGCAGCTAAAAACCAGGAGCCCCAGACAGCCCCTCTGCATGGTCACTTGGTCAGCTAACTGTATTACGCACAAAAGAAAAGACGGAAGAAGCAAACGGGACTTCTTAACAAGTGTGCTGGTGAACTCCTTTAAAGGACGAGCGAGTGTTTTATGTCCACGTTTTCAGAATAGGCTTGTGGAATTCATTCCTCAGTTTGTGGGAAGTTGATCGACCATTTTAAATAAATAGCAAAAAATGCAGATAAACAAATTTGTAATTCATGATGCCACCAAGGAGTCTCCCCTTGCCGACGGCCTGGGTCCCAGTGAGCACAGGAGTTATTGGTGGCTGGGCTGGATAGGAAGTTATAAACCAGAACTCTTAAAAACCCCAATGTTCTCACGTTTTCTGAACAGTTATATTTACCCCTGAATTCTAGCAGCTATTTGTCCTTTAAACACCTAGTACTGAAACAGTATTCAAAGACAGTATTGCAATGAACTCCTTTTGCTGTATCATGTGCAAACATTACCTAGATGAGGTTCCCTCTCTTCAGCTAAAATTACACAATATTAAAAACAATGGAAAAAGCAGTCAGAAGTGCCCTCCCCTCAGTTCTTGCTAATTGAGGTGTCCATGATTTACAAAAAAAGAGTTCCTTAAACACTGAAGGATTCTTATTTTTTTTTTAATATAATTTATCTTGCTGAGACAGCAAGTCAAGTTTATAAAGAAGATGCATTTAGGAATAATCCTAAAAGATAAAGCAGGTTTACAACCCTGCACCGCACAGAAACCCTACTTAGAGGCTTTTTAAAATTTTAATACACATTTGCATCTTGATCTTTTCGCTTATTTTTCTCAAATATTTCATTTCTGGGCCCCATCCATTACAGGGTTACCAGGAGGCAAATTTTATCTACATAAATATTCACATGAAAATAGTAACTTACAAAAAGAAAAAAAATAAGGCAGCTTCATAACACAATTATTCTTTTACACTTTTAACAATATAACTTCTCCCATTCAGAATAAATATACACCCAATGTGTGGAGCAGGATTCAAAGTGGACAGAGGCTTGGGGGTGCTTGTGTAGTGTTACCGCTTGGGACCCGGAGTCCTGGGGGAGGCAGTGGTGGTCTTCTTAGACATGGTGGGGATTTTGGAAGGCTTGTTTAGCCCTCTCCTCGAGCTGCCCTGGCCCCCTGCGGCACTGCTCTCTGAAGTGTCTGAACAAGCAGACTGCGTCTCTAGAAGGTCAAAGTCAGAGGCATCGCTTCCACGCCGGCTGCTGGCCCGACTCCCGGCCCGACTCCCGGCCCGACTCCCAGGGCGACTGGCTGATTTTTTAGGGTCTGGAATTTAAGAATAAAGCCACAGACTTTAATAGAGACAGCACTGGAGGGGGCGGGGGAGCTGGGGCGGGGGGAAACAAGTTACCAGAGGCCGGGGTTCTTTTTTTTTATTTTTTAAAAATTTTTATTAGAGTATAGCTGATTTACAATGTTGTGTTAACTTCTACTGTACAGCATCTCCTATTACTTATTAATTTTTTTAACATCTTTACTGGAGTATAACTGCTTTACAATGTTGTGTTAGTTTCTGCTGTATAACGAAGTGAATCAGCTATACGTGTACATATATCCCCACATCCCCTCCCTCTTGCATCTCCCTCCCACCCTCCCTAACCCACCCCTCTAGGTGGTCATAAGAGGCCAGGGTTCTGATCCTAATACCACCTGATATGCTGTGTGACCTTGGGCAAACCACAGCCTTTCTGAACCCCGGTCCTCTCACCTACACAGAAGTTGCTGAAACCCTTTCTGGCTTTGTGCTTCTACTTGAGAAGCATCCTGAGAATTAGAAACCAGCTTCTATCAGCAGCACTGTTAGCTCACACGCCCCATGGTGGAGTCGAGCAGGGCTGTCCCATGGCCTCGGCACAGAGGAGAGAGCCTGCTAGTTGCATGGGCAGACTGAGAATGGGGGCGAAGGGATGGCAAACAGAGAGCAGGAAATGGAAGCCAAATCCCTAGGCTCCCGAAAGGAACATCAACAGGTGAGCAGATGTAATCCTTCCCCGACTTCCTCAGCTCCCCGGCAGCGATAATAAATATGGCGTGTCGGAACAATTACTAGCAACCTGCCAGGTCCCATACTGGACGGGCTTCTGAGGAAGGCCCCGCTGCAGGAGGCCCTTTTCTCCTTCTACTTTCAAATACTATCATTTCTGATCAAGAACAGGTGGACTGGCTTTGGATGTGAGAGCATCTGCTCCCAGAAGGCAAGGTTCGAGCTACTTGTACTGACAGGAGAAGAAGTCAAGGTCGGCAGGATATCTGCAGGGCTGTCTTTCAGCATCACACCTCAGTGCTACTCTCATTATTTGCTCCTTGGGGAGCAGTGAAGCATTGCTGAGAGACTGCTGTTTCCAAATTCCTAGCCTGGCCACTCCCCTCACCCTCATCCTGATGCAGAAGTGCTGGGGCAGGTACTTACCTGCCCGATTAGTTTTGGCACCTGTGGAGGCTGGGGAAGAACTATTGCTAGTATCGCCAGCAAGCGATGTTCGACTCGAATGAAAAGTTGGTGTTGGTCGTTTCAACTTGCTGCCTGTTGATGGAATAATCTTAAAAAAATAAAAATAAAAAGGTCATATTTACTTGGTGTAATCTTTGGTAGAAATTCCACTTTAAAAGGTCTACTTAAGCCCTCCTTATGTCTAATCAATTGAAAAGCCAATTAAAAGTCCAGGAAAACAAAGATTTATTTTGAAAGTGTCCTAGGTCATGTATTTTGAGGATTCCCAAAATAAAGGTTTCATGTCCCAATTAAAAGTTTTAAAATGTCTTCCAATACCTTTTATCTTACCGACAAATTTCTACTAAAAAAAAAAAGATCCTCAAATGGTAAGATTATAGTAGTTATAACAAACAGAAACATGGTAAATGAGTAAAGGAAAAAAATCCAAATACTCCCAAGTATCAAAGTTTTGGGGTTAGAAATGTGACATATGAGTTCTAACCCCAAATATTTAACGTGGAGATCCAAATATTACTCCAATCTCTACTAGATAGATGCAGTAACTTCAGTCAAGTAAAGATCTATTTTCGACTGGCAGAATGCAGATTAAATTACTTGACTTGATCAAATAAGTGATTAGGAGAAGCACACATGAGTGGGGCTGTGATATCAGGAACAAGGCTCTGAACAAGGGGCCAGAAGAACTGAGCTTGGGTCTGGGCTCTTGGCTTATCTAAATTGGCATCTGTGCCTTCACTTCTCCCAGTGGAAACCAGAGAAGGGTCCTGCCTCTGAGACCTCATTCCTACCACATTCCCTCTCGTTCAGTCCACCGTTGCAACTGGCCTCCTGGCTGTTCCTCCTGTAACAGCCCAGGAAAGTTCCCTGTTTGTTGCCTGAATCTCTTGTATTAAAGCAGAAACTCCACAAAAGCAGGGACTTTGTTTTGTTCCCCGTCACACCCTTGGCACCTAATACCACGTCTGGCACAGACGAGGGGCTCAATAAAAACTTGTTGAGTGAATAAGTCATGTGTGGAAGCACTTCCTAAACTGGAGAAGAGCTGGACAGATGTACATAATCATTACTGCTGCTGATAGGAGCTCCATTTCCCATTTGAGTGTATTTTTTTTTTAAAGATTTAATTTGGAGAAAGAATATTTTAAATCTGTTTTAAGTATCACTCATGCCACAGCATGCTATTCCAATTTTTCTTTGAAATCAATTGTGTAAATTGTTTTCCAGGACTTTTAAGATGTTTATACAAAGAGAAGAGTAAAGCAACCCATTGCATGGTGTTTCTTATATCTTCAATTTATAAAGAAAGAGCAAAAGCGACAGAGAGGGATTAACATTCCAGCACAAACCCTCCTGGCCCACACAGGAGGAAGAGCACCAGTTTCAGAAGCTACTGCTGCTGGGAAGACGTGGCGCCAGAGATGCCGGGCTGGGCGTCCGCGTCAGGACACAGCCTGCAGAACACCAGTGGGTAAGGAAAGATGAAACCTCGAAATGAAATGAAACCAAAGGTAAAACCTTAAGATGAAACAAAAATGCTGATCCATCAGAATCCTATGAGAATTGGCACTTCATAATTAAAACATTAAAAATTTTAGAACTTTTGAGACTTTCATGAAACTGGAGCCATTTAAGGAGAAGAAAAGCAGGATAAGCAGGTTGAGTTGTGGGGTTTTAGTGTCAGTGGGTCCCCAGATCATGTTCTAAGCCAGATGTATTTCTGAATTGGAGTTTTAGCTTGGAGTGGGATGAATCCCAAAGCAGCAAGTCCATTCGTGGGCATTGGCTTCTTGTACCTCCTGCGTTTATTGGCTGAAGCTTTACATGACTAAAGGCAACGCTACCTTTTGCGGCACAAGAACCCAATGTTTCCCAGCAGGAGCTAGAATGCAAATTGTAGTGCTATCACACAAGCCTCTAGTCCACATTTTATTTCTGAAACACTGCTCTTCCAACAGTACTTGGGCATTTTAATGACTGTACTTGAACATGCTTCATTGCTGGCATATGTATTCAAATCAAGGCTATGTAAACCCAAGTGCCTGGGCCAAGGAATTCGAAGCTAAAACCTGAGCCTCAGAGCAGTGTTCACTGATACTGTGTGTGGCTGAAGGAGACGGCACCCACACCCGGACCACTGTGGCGATACCACCATCCCGGGGATGTGGCTCGGACGGGGGGCGGGGGCACCAGCCACTCTTCCGTCCTAAGCAAAGATAGAACACTGTTGAACATGCACCGTCGTTGAATTTCAAGTGTTCGTAACTCGTCTGTGTCAGATATGACATTTGGAGGCTCCAAGAGGCCTGATTATAAACAACATCAATCAACAAATCACCACAAATGACCATTGTTTCTCACCCTGAGCAAATACCATTCTAAAGACTGTTAGGAAGTTGTTAAACAATCCAGTCTTAGGCATCTCTTATTTATCTCCAATTTTGGTGAATCCGAGTTAGAAACCCCTGAAAAACACTGGACGAGATGAATCAGCTGTGAGAGCAAGCACCACAGAGATGGAAAAGAGCACGGACTCGTGTCAGGAAGAAGAGCTGGTCAAGTCCTCGGCATGAGCGAGGGCCTGGTCTTGACTGTGTCCTTAGCAAAGCCATACTCTACCTCGGGGCTGGGCAGCTGGAGGTCAGGATAGTGGCTGTCCCTGACAGGGGTGCCAGCTTTACTGTTTACCAACCAGGGTTTGTCATAACAGCGAGATAACTGAAGTGGAGTCTGTGAAACGGAAATCCAAAGGGAAGGACGGGAATAATTGAAAATGGAACAGAAAGGGAGCAAATTGGGAACATAAAAAAAAAATAAATAGAAGACACTAAATGTTAAAGAAATAGAAGACAAAATAAAATGCACATCAGTCCAACGGGATGAAAGGGACCAGGCAGAAAGGCAACAGCATTCTTCATCCATCACCCCTCGTAACAACAAACTTCTCTGTTAGCTCCAGCAGCACAGATAGTGCCTGGATTTCCAAGATTAGTAACTGGATGGGCTCAAACTCAAAATGGGAATATGTGGAAAGAAGCGCTTTGGACTTAACAACCCGAGTTCCTATTTAATAATGTCCTCTTCAGCCATGTTAAAGGTCCGGATCTGTGTACCACTAGGGCCTGGCCAGCCTGGTCTGCATGTCTTCAAGTGCCTCTCCTCACTGGGGTCTTTCAAAGGCTACACTGAACAATGGACATCCGCAAAGCTGGGAGCGGGGAAGGAGGTCACACTGCAGCTTGTACGTACCTTGGTGCCACTGGCTGGGGTGGCTGGAGAAGACGGCATGGACGTACAGCTGTGGTTACTCTGACTAGCACTTGAGCTGGAGCGGGTAGGGGAGGCTGCCCGGGAAGATGGTTTGGACCTTCGGCCCCGTGATCGGAAAGGGGTCATTCCCTGGGATGCCCCCTCAGGTAGGATGAATTTCTCTCTAAGTTCGATGTTAGTTCTACCTCGTGCTAAAAAGGGAATAAACACACACATACAATAACAGTTAACCTTGAAAAAAAAATATCTTTGATGGTCATACAGATGCTTGACCCCATGATAACAGTTATATAATTTACAGGTTTAGTACCATCTGTGGATTCTTTTAGAATAGGGATAAATTCATGATTTATCAGCCTTGTCATGATTCTTACCCACAGCAGACACACTAACTAATAAGCCCCTTGGGTTTGCTGTAATGAAGAAGTCTCTGTGTACAAAGCACCATCCCATGCTGTGGTCACGATCTGGCCTTGCCACTGTCCCCTGGGGTCAAGAGAAAGCAGATGAAGCAGTTCACAAACCTCTGAGGTTAAATCAAAACCCCTCTTTTCTCTCTCATAGTACATGTGTACTTTTTGCTCAACTGTCGCAGGATACACGGTAATGAAATAGTAGAGAAAAACAGATCATTGAAATTGACGTCACCTAGACTCTTCTATTTGAATTCAGTCGATAATGTTATTAAAGAAAGGGGTCCAGGAACTCAGGACAGTAAAAAGATCTGGACTGAATCATTAAGAAGTAAACATGTGGGAGGAGAGAGAGAGATCAAGACCATGCACAAAACTTGCCAGTGAGAAACCGTTAAGTCAAAAGCTGAAAGCAATGAGAAGCTGAAGGCACACCTGCAGTGGGAGAGGGACATCCAGCTGGAGAGTCTGGAAACACCACTGAAGGCCAACAGTGCTGTCCTGGGGCTTCCTGGAGCCATCAGACCAGAACCCAAAATCTGGATTCGGTCAGAAGATACCAAGTACAGCCAACACAAACATTAAATGTGAAAGACGTTATGAATTTAGAAGAAATAATTCCTCTGGAATGTGTTCTTAGATTATTCCTCACTGAAAGGTGCCATTCTGCAATCACCTTCTGTCTGCTCATTCATCCCCAAGCTGCTCACTTTTTAGGATGTACTAGATAGATCTAAACAAACAGGACTGCTGGTAAAGCCTGGGAAAAGGGAACCATTAGAAACAAAGTATTTGTCTTTCTTTCCTCTATTAGATTTTTTACTTTGGCCAGAAACTACAAGTTTAGAAAATTTCAGGTAATTGTGCCTACCCTCTCCTGCCCAACTCCACATGTCCTCAAGAAATTTGAGGAATCTTGGTAGAATCGGATTTTAAATCAGGTTGCATGAGTGTCCAAGCAGAGAGGTTCTAAATTCCTAAAGCAAATCAAAATTCTTTTCAATATACTCAGTTGACATAACATATCAAAGTATGAGGTTAAAAGGACTAACTTGCATTATCAAAACCCCTGAATTACAGTCCAGGCTCTGCCCCCAACTGGGATCCTTCCCGCTCTGGGCCTCCGTTTCCTCAGGCTCACTAGAGGTGATCAATCAGGCTCACTGATGTCCAAGAGTCCTTCTTGTCTGGACGGTCTAGGATTTTTGGTCCCTGGAATGCTAAGCTGTCTCCTCCCTTCTTAGGCTCCAACAGAACATGCCCTTCAAGGTTCATTCCTTGGCCCTCTGTTCCCTACTCTAACCAACCAGGTTACTCATCCATTTTCCAAACTCCAGCACTTTCCTCAGTGTCCAGTTCTCAAAGGGAATTTCCTTCAGCGCTAACCTGGGTACTTCAGTAAGATTCCACATCGCTAAACACTTATTTATCTTATGTTTGCTAAAGGGCCAAGCACAAGGGTGGACACACAGCAAGCACTGAGTTAACAGGGACAAATGGAAATCATTACTCAGCTGAGGACTTGGACCCCAGAAGAACTGTTTATGGCCCTAAGCCATAAAGAACTTCAGACATGTGGTTTAAACCTAGTAGAGATTTAACAGTTCACTGAGCCCACCCTCCCAGAAAACAACACAGTGACACAAGAGGAAGACTCTGAAATGGCATTGCAGATGAGGGCAATGACATCTTTAGTGTAACGATAATAACATGTTCCCCATGCACTGTACAGTTTACAGAGTGTGATCACGTGTAATACTGCACTTGACTGTTATCAGCGACCAGTCAGCATCCCCATGTCACAAAGGAACTGAAGCATTCAGAGGCTGAGGTCAAGGAACGCTGTGGCAGAACTGGGACCAGAACCAGGGTCTTCCACCTGAGCTGCCTTCTGCCCGGCCCAGCTCCTTGCATTCATCTACGCTAGCTCATCCCACTCCGCCTTCCTTCCCCACCACACTACTGTAACCACTGGCAAAGGTTACGGACAACTTCTGCCTTAGGGGGATGCTTTTAGACTGTAGAAAGGTTGAGATCTACAGAAAAGTACAAAGAATAAAAATTGCTTAATCTTAGGGGACAGCACTATTAAAACGTTGGTGTCTTTATTCCTTTGTACAACGGTGTGTGTATATATATATATATAAAAGATACAAAAATATCAGAAACATTCCTCCATGCCTGAGGAATAACTTGCATAACTTCAGCTAGCTGCAAAGTATTGTTTCATCATATCGACATAATTTATTTCACCAACCTTGTATTTTGTTCACAATTTTTAAAACACTGTACACAACGCTGTGACAAACTACTTGTAAAAAGTTTTTGTGCCCACCCATGATGACTTCCTTAGGATAAATTTCTACAAGCGGATCTGCTGGGGAGAAAGGATGCACACTTAAGGTTTTTGATACTTGTCAACTGACCTACAAAATTTTATACCAATGTACACTCTCAAAAATAATGTATGAATACATTCAATTTACTTCACCCCGGCCAATGCTCTCTGTATTAAGAGAGAGAGAGTGTGTGTACACATATGTGTCAGGTAAAAACCCTGATAATTTGACAGGTAAAAACACCTCTCTGCTGTTGTCACTTGCACTCGGGGGAGTTACTATTTTGTTCTTGAAACACTCTCCTCCCTCGGCTTCCAGGGCCCCTGCTCTGCTGCCTCTCCCCCTTCTCCCAACTACTCCATCCCACCCACTTCTTAAACGCCGATGTTCCTCTGGTTCCATCCACAGTCCTGTTCTCCCTCTTAGACTTTTGACCTGGTGATGAGTTCATGCATCTGAGACTTCAGCACCATCATACGGTCCTGCCTAACTCTCAAATACATCCCCAGCATAGACCTCTCCTGGATGCCAGAGCCTTACACCCAACTGAAGCCTGAAACCTGGTTGTTGACGTAGGTCCCTCCCTCCTGATGGCAGTTCAGTCTACTATTGATTCCACCTTCTAATGCCTCTTGAATCCCTGAGCCCTCCCTGTACCCCTTACAATTACATGGTTCATGGAGTATCTCCTCCACCCTGGACCACTGTAACAGGCTTCCAAATGGTCTCCTTGTTTCTCATCTTAACGTCATCCCTCCCTCACTCCTCATTCCCCACACTGAATTTCTAAATAAAAACCTGATCTCTCTAAACAGCTCCAAATCTTTCCATGGTCTTTCACTGCTTACAGCAGAATTTCCCAAACTGAGGTTTTTGAGGGGTTTCCTATGAAGAGGAGTTTCGTAAACACTGGATTCTACATTTCTCTCCCTAATGCAATCAATCAGCATTTTATAAGCTCTGAGAAGTCCTGCAGCAAAGAAACCTGTTTCGTTTTAACTCAGTGTTTTCCAAACGCATGTGACCATGATTTTTTCGGTTTTTTGAAGATCACATTTTGGGGTCCAGACCCCAAAGACAGCCATTTCAAGTTCAGTTTTTCAACCACCAGAGAGACCACCATTCTCTAAGAGACTGACCACCGATATTGGCTGGAACAGGCTTGTTAGTTAAAATTCAGTTCTATTGTTTAATGGGTAGAGTTTCGGTATAACAAGATGAAGAGTTTTGTGGATGGGTGATTGTGATGGTAGCACAGCAGTGTGAATGTACGTAATGCTACTGACCTGTACACTTAAAAATGGTTAGGACGGTAAGTTTTTATGTTATGTGTATTTTACCATAATAATAAAAAAAATCAGTTCTAAGCCAAATTGTGTCTTTTAAATCTTCATAAAGTTTTTCTAGATTTTCAGTAAAATTTGGGGAATTAATCTGTCTAATGCTCAGAAACATTCCCGGAACCCTCGGGTAAATGTGCGCCGATTCCCTAGGCAGGGGCGTTGTTTTACCTCCATCCAAACATCATGATTTCCTTTGCCATGGCTCAGTTCAGAAAGTGGAATCTCCAATTCTGGCAGTACCAGGAACCTACCTAGTTGAATACTTTTACCTTTTACACTTGGCTAAAGCAACGTGCAGTCTGAGACAACTTTCATCTTCTTAAACAACTGTGTAAAGGCAGATAACACGATTGTGCAACACTGGTATTATAACCCCGTCATACATTTGGTACTGTCCTCAGAATAACATTCTCTATGGTGCAGAGAGCCAAGGAAATGCAACCCAAATGAATAAAAAAAAATCCACCCCAAGTGGTGCTTCTGTAAGCCACAGTAATCCTCACAGAACCCTAGGTAGCTTCAAGGAACTTTCCTCTTTGTGATGTTCATGCCCTTCTAAGTCATGTATTACATCCATCTGGGCCTTTAAGTGTTCCCCTCGTAGCACAATTTTTTATTTGCTTAGATGTAGCTCATCCTGTCCCTCACTAGTATTATGAGGGATTATGATATCTAAGGAGTATGATATCTAAGACTGCTGGGAGTTCTTGACCCTGTAGTCAATGGAATTGGGATGAGGGCATTCCTGGAAAGGCATAGGGGAAAGCCTTACCTTGTTTGCTCCAAGGGATGCTGAAAAGGCTACTATGTTCCATAGAAAATAGCTCCTAGATGGCCCTCCCAAATCTCCTTGGGGTTCCAATGTCTAGCTAACAAGATAAGGAAAAAGCAAGCAGTGTTCTCCTTGGCCAGCAGCACAATGTTATCGTAAAGAGAGCAAGTACAGCAGGCAGCAAACAGGCAGTCAAAGATTCCAAAATGTCACATGCAGTATCTCTTTTGTTTAGTTCAATCACACACAGCATGAAAAATAAAACCTTATTAATAGACTTGGAAAGGAATAATGTTGTTTTACTGAGTTAAGGTTAAAAAGATATATATATATATATATATATATATATAGCTCCTCATTTAAAACAATCAGAGGGTACTTTTATATCAAAGAAATTGGTTTGCAATATAATTAAGTTCTAAAACTAATTTAAACCCGCTCTAGTTTTTATCAGAATAGGTGTTTTTAAGACTAACTACTTTATAAAAAGGAAATCCTAATGAAAATTATTACTCTATTATTACTCTGGTTTATTGGAGTAAATGCAGAATGAGTTAAGAGGAACTAATTCATGAGCGTATCTGAATTCATGTGAGAACCTTTAGCTTCAAATGCTTCAGATTCTGACTATAAATCACTTCCAAAGAAGTGACATAACAGTATTGTAAACATTTCTGCTCAGCTTATAAGTAAGCCTTACTAACTTAATTACGTAGTTGGAACCAGTAAAACACATGTAAAAAAGGGTGGTGGTGGGTATGTTAGCATCTGAGACACAGCATGGAGGTCAGGAGCCAGACGGTGTTGGATGTGAATCCTGTCTCCGCCATTAGCTGCCTCTCCTCGGGCAAGTTATGTACCTTTCCTATGCTTCAATTTCCTATTCTATAAAATGGAGATAATAATAGTAGCTACACCTCCTAGAGGTATAAATATGTTATTATTATTTGTAAGGTCTTATAATAAACAGTGTGTGGTACATAAAGCTATAAGTATTTGTTAAATGAACAGAAACTCAGAACAAATTCCACGGGTACTGTCTCAACAGGCATATTTTGTTTTGTCAACTTATAATAGTTAGAAAAGCTATGGTTTGGCTATTTCAAAGCATTCATAAAGGCAGCAGATACCACAGAGCCAAGAGATGCTACAGTTTAAAAAGCAAAGCCATTCTCAACGGGCTGGGATGTGGGTAAGAGGGACAAAGCTTAAAAGCCAACCTATGGGAGACTGACTGGAAATCGAAGAGCTGGAATCAGAGCGCTTTATTTTACTCCCAGGATGGTGAACTAGAATAAAAAATATATAAACACAAAGAAACAGAGCAGGAAACGCAGAAACTGGTCAAGAAAGACAAACTGGCAGACAGTGGGGGAGCCTCCTGTGTACCCACATGCAGCTTGGCTAACAGGAGAAAGGAAAGGAACAGTTGAACGGGATGTAGCAACTGGAATCTGATCATCCCCTGCTTGCTGCGGCCCTCACACGCCTCTAGCTGCAGATGCCATCACTCACATTGAGTTGACTGTTAGCTTTGGCCTTTGGGCCAAAAGAGTAGACCATTCTCTTTGGCCTTTGGGCCTTTTTAGGTTGAAACAGACTGAGACCCCATGGACTTACTTAGGTGACCATATGCCTCACAATGCAGTGCCCAGGCTCACTGCTAGGTGTTCTCTATTCCTCTCGCTGGTTAAGGGAGCTCCCAGCCCTCCCCTGCCTAGGAGGGACCCGATACCCTCTCTGAGTTTCAGACACAGGAATTACAGGCAAAGTCATCTGCAGCACTAACAGGGAACCGACAGGGCTTCTTTCTAGGCTGGGGTTAATTTAACCCCTCACACAGAAACATTTGATGACACCAATAAATTCCCAATTCTCGTTAGTGTGTCCCTGGAAACCCGTCTCCCCTGACAGCATCAAACCCTCCTGCTCTCTCTCCCTGGTCTGCCCTGCACCCGAGTCCCAATCTGTGCTAGTGGGATGACACCTGGCAGCTTAACAACAGAATCAACCTGTTCCATTCCACCCTGTGGAATCATGAAAGATCAGCGGCGAGGGCGTAGCTAACAAGTAACACGAGCTCAGAACGGCTTCTTACCTCGGCAGGGGTCATTTTTCACTAGGAATTCATCCAGGGCCATCCATCCTCCCCCAACGCGGACCATCACTGTGCTGCGCAGGATGCGGACCAGCCGCAGCTGCTGGGAGTCCCCAAACTGCAGGGCCAAGGGGAAACGGTGAGCGAAGGCGCCCGAGAGCAGGGCTAGACTTTCTTTCCTAAGCAGACTGTATTCAGATAGAATGACAATTTCACAGTTTGGGGGCAATTTTAATTCTCACTATCTTGCATTTTTCACAAAAAACTTCAAATATGGAAAAGCTAAAGGTCATTATCTTGACGTACTTTCTGTTCGGATAAAGTTAACTGTTGATGGTTGTGACCTTGCTCCAGAGGGGAGGAAGGAGGACAGACAAGGCATTAGCTCACTTTGATTCCTTTAAAGATTCTGCCCAAATTTAAATCCAATGATACAATTCTTTGTTAAGCTAGCTTGTTTCCATAAAAGAAAAGGTAGCTCTAAGGTGGATGTCAGCTTCTGAATACAGTGTGCTCAAAAGTTAAATGGAGAACAGCAAATCATATTTCAAGTCTCAAGGAAAACCTTGCAAAGCATCACCATTATTACAAGCTTAGAAAGAAATTTGATTTTCCACATCATTTTCAGAAATAAACTCCTAAGTATTCTCTAATTGTGTTGTCACCAGCAGAAAATTTTCTTCAGCTGAACAAATGATTAGTGTTTATACTAAAATTTAGTTGAAGAAATTAAAATTTATATCTACCATGCTGATTGTAAGTAGTTTTCAACAATCATTTTGGGATGTTAAAACAAGCATGATTTTCTGATATCTATTTTTCCTTTTTTTCTTGCCAAATATTCCTACTACCCAGCCCTATCAACATCTGGAGTTTCCCACTGCATAAATTATCCTCTTCCCAAAATAAAAGTTAAGAGGTAACAAAAGAGAATCATGCTGAGATCTCAAAACAAAAATCAAACATATGGTTGGAGAAATGGAATTCCTAAAATTGTTTAATTTAAGGAGAATGTTGAGGGGGGTAATTTAATCACTTAATTAGGATTTTCAAAGTTGTAAAGGAGAACCATAACTTTGAAAGAAGGCACAAAAATTAAAAATGCCAGAAAGGATGTTTAAGGACCCGTAACCAACCCCCCTCAAAATTAATATTTCTGTGGTAATTCTCTGTATTACTTTGCACTGATTCAAGCTCACTGTTTATACAGGCAAGGTGATTGAAAAAAATATCATCCCCCACCCAAGCCCTTTTCTTTGAAAATAAAAATGGTCCTACACCTTTCATCTCATGCAGGTTTTAGGTTTTCATACAAAGTGACTGCAGCCACAGCATGGTGTAGTGTAAAGAGCACTGAAGTCGGGACCCAGAAACATGAGGGAATAAAGGTCCTGTCCCGGGAAGGAAGCTGCCCTCAGACACTGGCCCCATGCGTGGGAACGGGGAGGCCCCTTGGGAGGAACTGAGGATTCCACCAGACCCAAGGGCGGTGCCAGCCCGAGTCACTGTTTGGGGTCCTCTCTGGATAAGTGAGGGGAAGAAGGAAATAAGGGCCAATGTGTCCTCCAGAGGGAATCAGGAAGGAACCCCAAGCTGTACTTTATTCTTACATTACTGTGCCCTGTAATTTATTTGTCAACCTTTAGAATTAACTCCACTGATTTCATTCTTGTTTCCCCCTTAATTTCTTACTAAAGCTCTCTCTGAAAGATTCTAACTTGCTTTTACTGAGCTATAGGGAAAAGGAGGTTTGACCCAAGCCGGGGGCCAAAGTGTCTGGGGGAGGCCAGAGAGATGAATGTGGAAGGAGTTATAGCAGCTCTAAAAACAGGGACCTGCAGGAATCTGGCAGAGAGGGGTTGCCAGTGAGGCAAAAACCTCCTAACAGTCTTAGAGGCAACAACAGTAAGCTCTGCTTCCTTCTCTGCGTCACTGCTCTAACATTTGCTGTGTGACTGTTGGCACAGTGGTCCTTAAGGCCTCAGGTGCCTCGTGTATAAAGTGAAACTTCATAATTCTGTTCCAAACATTGGAACTAACCCTCTGACCCTCTGCTGGTCAGTGGAGTAGAGGAGGACATCGGTGCCACTTCAAAGGGGCCCCTGGTACCCACATGCAGTCATTAGCAAACAGGTACAACCTTTAGGTACTACTTGGCACTCTTACGCAATGAGTTATTTAAAGCCAGTTTGACTGTTCTTGTCTTTAGTTTCTTTCCATCCTTCGTTCTTCCCACTGGCCCAGAATGTTACTGTGGTTGGTGGTTAAAGCAGTGCCTGGAACTTTGAGTGAAGGCTTCAAATCAACTATTAGTGTTTCTGATTTCATATCACAAGACAAATTTTACCCATGCAACTTCCTTCCACTTTAAGACATAGGACCCCAGAGCCCTCAAAGAGATCTAAAAGGTTAGAGTTACCAAGTGGAGTCAAAAGCATTCAATCTTTGCAAGTCTAATTTGATCCCATTAGATTATGCTGGCTGGCCATAATCGGCAAACGTCAGGCTACAAGCCAAGTATGAGTTCCACACTCCTTCTCACATCCCTTATGATTATAAAATGTAACGTAAGCACAGGTAACTAAAATTTTAGTAAGGTATTTAAACACAGTATCTTAAATACCTTAAGACTTTTCTGACTTAGTGTGCATTATAAAATTTGTGTTAACGGTCAAAAGACTTGGGTGTAAATCAGAACTGTGCTGTCCGGTATTCTGACAAGACTGGGCTCTTTTTTAGAAGTGGGATGGATTAATACCATAGCTTTAACTTCCCCAGAACCATACTACTTTTAACTCAGCCCACCAAAATATCGTCGTCAGCCAATCTAATTTTAAATGGAAAATTATATATACTTATATCCTTTTGCTTCTGAGACAGCTTTACAATACTAGCCCTGCTATCAGTTTCTCCACTTGGTAAGACTACCAGACATGACCCAGGCATGCTTCAGATTACGTCCTCTCCCCACAGCAAAGAACAGGCAGCATTAGCCACACAGACCATTTCCACCAAAAATAACATTTGCAAGGCACACTGTACCTGATTGCCGAGGAAGAACTACAGACAGTAAGAGTTAAGGATGGAGGAAAAGGAAGAAAAAAAAAAAAGAGAGAGAGAAAAGAACGTTTTGTCAAATTAACACTAAGGAATGAAAATCACGTAATCATAATACCAGTTCCAAGCAGAACAACACATACTGACCATATTCTTTGTTAACTCATTTCTCTCACAGGTAATTAAAAAAAAAGAAAGAAAACCATTATAAGATTGCCTGGAGCCTTATTAACTCAAAACCCTGGGCTGGATCCAAGGCAGAGTCACCCAACACTCCACCCCCTGGCTCAGAGCAGCACAGTGTGACTCTGCTGGACCTTGAAGACGGTTGTGACGTGCTAATGGAACCTCATTTTCCTGTTTCTAACTGGGTGCATGTAACTATGCTATCTGGCCATCTAAATCCTCTTTGACAATCCTAGATCTTCCTTAGGACTGCAGAGAACCCTGACAAACTGCTGGATACATTTTAGGGGTCCTGTCATAGATCCCTTCTGTGCCCCACCCTGGTCCCCAAAGAAGCTAAAACACAGCACAGTTCACTCAGTTATGGCCTCGCTCGGCACAGCTTTCCAGGGAAGACTACTGAGCAGGCTGAGCGTCCTGTGGGGCCTGGACAGAGCTTCTCCAGCCCTTTCTGAGCCTGCGAGCCACTTGGTCTCACAATGACCAGCTCTCTGGGGGCAATGGTCAGTCATTAGATAACTGTTTCCTTATCTTATGATAAAGGTGCCTCCATTTCCTCAAAGACCTGTTTGGCAGTGAAGAGAGGGCTCTGAAATGTCTCCTATGTTGGATCCCATACAAGCTACTGCTGGCTAGATACGGCACTATTTTCCAGATGCAACTATGTGGGGCACTAAAGCTCAGCTCACAGGACACCTGATAATTGGCACCTACAGAGGTGAGGGCCACAGACTGATCGCATTGCAAGTCTCCACTGGCTTTGGTACTCCAAGCATCGGTGACGGGAAGGTGGGATCAGCCATCTGCTGTGTGTCAGGCTGCTTTCACCTGTAAGGGCCACACAGCAGGAATGACCACCACAAAGGACTGGTTTTCTCTTTCTTACCCGGTATTTATTCTCTCCAATCTGCTCCACCTGAAACCTTTTTGCACATTTACACTGAGCCACTTGTCTTGTGACCTGTTGGTTGTGAACAACAGAAAAAGAGAAAAGCGTGAAGGGTAAAGCAGGACTTCCTCTGCAGAGAAACAAAGATTTTTATATGTCATCAGAGAAGCTCTTCATTACATACTTTTTAGGCACCTCAGGCTTTTGACACATGTGTTTATCTTCTATTGTGAGTCTCACTAACTGGGATGCTCAGACGCTGAGTATGAAAGAAATTCCCCAGTAATGATACAACAACACATTCTTCCATCCTGCTTCAAAATTTCCTCAAATGTGCTAATACGCACGCATCAATATTAACTGACTAATAAAGCAAACTATGAGCTGATTTAAATGTGAACCTAGGAGCCCAAATTCCCTGGAAGTCAGTCCTGGGGTGCTCCAAGCCACTCTCCAAGACCAGGCCCACTGCCTCTCCCATCCCAGGATGTGCTACCAATGAATTCACACTTTTTGGTGTGATACAATTTTCAGTGTGATACAGTTCTTAATTAGGCAGAAAGTTTGGTGGGTACACATCGTCTTAAACATTACTTTTATGTATCACCCCTTAAATGCTACACATGAAGACGCTCTCTTGCATCCCAAGGTAGGATCTCAGGACTGAGAGATGAGTCTGTTCTAAGCAACATGGTGCCCTGGAGAGGTTCTCTGCAAGCTGCAGAGCACCACACAGAGGTGACTCACTTAGGTAACAATTCATTGAGACTGAGCTACAGCTCAAGAGTCGGACATCCACTGGGGCAACACCATCCAAAAGGGGATCCCCAAAAAGAACTCCAGATAATCACCTCCCAACAGACACGCTAAAGGGCTGATACGGCAATTACACCCAACCAAATTCAGGACAGTAGTAACCTATGGTCAAAAATGTACTCCAAATACGACTCTTTCCCGTACCTCATCTTCAATTTTATCTGCATCAGTTGTTGGTCGATAAGCATCCTTGTTGGGATGGAGAGCGGCCACGAATTCATAGTAATCAATGTAGCCATCCCCATCGCGGTCAAAAATGTCAGCAACAGCAGTCATCTCTAACTTGGTAGTAGGGAACTCTGGAGAAAATTAATCACATTTTGGAACGTTAACTAAGAGGGCTTACTTGGTTGGTTGGTGGTTACATAAATACTTCTTTAAAAAAAAATTTGTCTTGATTTTTTTCTGGAAAACAGTACATAGTCCTTTTAGAAAACTTAGAAAATATAAAATATTATAAAGAAGATAAAAATCACCAAAAAAAAAAATTATGCAGAGCATACTCAGGTTTTTGGCATTTTTGCTTATAGACTCATCTACCCCCCTCCCCAATGCAATTTAAAACCAGAGGCCTACCAACAAACTTCAGAATTTACTTATCCACTCCACTGTTGTTGGATATATAGATTATTTCAGGAGAGCGACAATTTGGAATTAATAGGATAAAGTTCTTCTTCATTTAGATTACTGCCTTGGGTTCTTGACAACTGCTTTCCAGAGTGTGAATGTTTACAATAGCCAGAGTGACTTATTAAAACGTAAACTGGACTATACTGTCTCTCAGATGGAAACCTCTGCTGGCTGCCCACTGTCTTTAGAATAAGATCTGATCCGTTCATGATGGCCAACAAAGCCCCGCATTAATGGCTGTTTCCTACCTTTCCAACTTCACATCTTACCATCTCTAAGGTCATGACACTCCAGCCGTGTTAACCTTTCCATTCCTAGAACATGCCAACTTCATTCCCATCTCAGCACTTTATATCTGCTGTGGCTCTGCCTCTATCTCTCCCCTGAAATCTTGACATGGCTGGAACCTTATCATCACCTAGGTCTCAGCTCAAATATTACCTCCAGACAGGCCTTCCTGGGCCACCCATGTGAAGTAACACAGCTGTGAGATGTGCTTTGTGATCTTGGCAAGTCACTTACAACTTTATGCCTTATTCCTTCTGCTGAAAATAAATGTGATCATACATTTTGTAAGTTGTTATGCAGATGCCAGAAACTGACATCATGAGGGACGTGATGTATGACATGATAAATATAATTAATTAGCACTGCTGTATGTTACATATGAAAGTTGTTGAGAGTAAATCCAAAGGGTTATCATCACAAGGAAAACAAATTTTTTTCTATTTCTTTAATTTTGTACCTATGAGATGATGGATATTCACTAAACTTATTGTGATAATTAGTTCATAGTCTGTAAATCAAATCATTATGCCGTACATCTTAAACTTATACAGTGCTGTATGCTACTTATATCTCAATAAAACCGGAAGGAATAAAAATCTAATCTGAGAAACTGATATTGTAAAAAACTTATTTTAAAAAACATTTTACAGGCGTGTCTCATGTTACTGTGCTTCGCTTTACTGCACTTCACAGACATTCTCTCTCCCCCTTTTAAAACAAATTGAAAGTCTGTGGCAACCCTGTGTCAAGCAAGTCTGTCGGCACCATTTTTCCAACAGCATTTGCTCACTTCATGTCTCTGTGTCACAGTTTGGTAATTCCTGCAATATTTCAAGCTTTTTCATTATTATTATATTTGTTATGGTAATCTGTGATCAATGATCTGATGTTACTATTGCCAAAAGGATTATGACTTGCTGAAGGCTCAGCCGATGGTCAGCATTTTTTAGCAATAAAGTATTTTTAAGTTAAGGTATGTACATCGTTTTTTAAGATATAACACTACTACATACTTAACAGACTACCGTATAGTATAAACAACAGTTTTATATGCACTGGGAAACATTACTGCAATATCTGCTCTATTACGGTGGTCTAGAACCAAACCTGCAACATCTCCAAGGTCTGCCTGTACTTAGAACCTCGTTATTCACAAGAGTTAGCTTCTTTTCTATACCTCGAATGTGTTTTGCTTGCCATAATGTGTCAAACAAGACCTGCATTTTTTATTCCTAGCAAAATGATGGAGGTTCTTCCCTCCATCAAAACAATAGACCAATTTTAGTAAGCAGGTACATTACTTCTTCCCTAACACTACAGCTTTAACTTGAGAAAGACTGTTTAGCCAGAATATAGCCTGCTTCTACAAAGTAGGTGCAAGGAATTATGACTGGACTCACTGGATGCTAGAATGCCATCGATAAACTCCTGACGTGTTATCTTCCCATCCTGGTCCTTGTCAATTCGCCGGAAGAAATCCATCACCCGAGACTTTTTGTGATTCATCCAACGCATATACTTTTTCCTCCAAACATCAAAGTCAAAGTTGGCAAATTCCTTCAACTAGACAGAAATCAGAGGTGTCAACAAGACCTACTGTTTGGCCTTCAAACCTGCCCAGAGCATACGAAAACTTTCAGACATCCAGCAAAGCCATGCAGGCCTTTCAAGGGGGACCAACAATGATATCTGTGCACCTTTTGGGAACGCACACTCTGGCTCCTTCACTTAAAGCCATGATTATTTACACAAGCTGTGGTAAAATGGAGCAGCGAGAGAAACGGTAACTGAACGACCACCATGGAAAATACGGAGCACGCAGAACAAGAACGGGTGGAGCCAGCCTTGCTTTCCCTCGGCACTTTTTCAAAAGATCATCCCCTTAGATGTAAGAGAATGGATTCTATCCCAGAAAAGACGTCCTTAGCACTCCTCACTTATGTGATTTTGAAAGGAACTATAATCACACAGAGGCCTATGTCTTCGAGGCTCAGCCCCCCTCCCCACTGGTCTTCTGAGATAGTTTGAGTTCCGGTTGGAAGCATCAAGAATCCAGTCCTGCACCCAAGCACATTTCTTTGGGATGGCAGCAGAGGGAGTGAACTGTCCTTCTGACTCCCATTTTAAATATTTGGCCCTGGTAGACGGCAGCAGGTCTATGCAGTGGGCAGAATGATGCTGAGCTACTTGGACTATGTCAGTGACACAGACTCAGAATGACTTAAACAGTGCAGCGGTTTTCCCCCTGGTCTTTCAAACTCCAAAGTTGGAAGGAATGGGGAAAAAAGAAAAAGCCAAAACCAAATATGCTTAAAACTCAACCGGATCTACAGAAATAACAACAAAAAACACAGAACACTCACTTCTGGGCATAGCTGCTTTGATATGCACAAATAAAAAAATATAAAAGATATTAGAAATTTGTTTTAGAAACTAGGAAGTGAAGTACTATATTTTTTAGATTGGTTAATGATACTTCAAAATAGATTAGCTTTTCATAATCTACTGAAGAAAAATACTGATAGAATGACAGGCCAATAAAAAAAATTACTCGTTTTAGAAATGGGTAGCTTATATCTACACAAAAGGCTCAGTAATGGTCATTTTTGTGAGAAGCTCCACACTTGGCGGTAACCTTGCAAAGTTATGCCCCTGATCCTCAACCAAGGCCAGGTGCCGAGGAGGGTCGCGTCACAGGCTGGACCCTCCTGGACTGGCTGGCTGCCTGCTTTCCACCACCAGTGCTACGGCCTATCTGTTGTTGGTTTCCTCACATGTGTCTGTTCTCCCAGGGGGCCTGGAGGACAGAGTCCTGGCCTACACTGCTCGGTTCCTCCTTCTGCATAAGTGGGTCAAGGCACACAGGTGATGTTCAGAGGGCCTCAGAAGGGCTGTGTTTTGATAAAAGTCACCTCCCTCCAGGGAAGGCTGCTTGGCGGGGCCTCACCTCCTCCAGCCTGTCCAAGGCGTCGTTCAGCTTCCGCTGCCGCTCCAGTGCCAAAAGCCACACCTGCTGCCAGCGGGCAGAGAGCTGGTTGATCCGTGGGTTTTTTGCTTCAGATTGTGAAAGGATTGGCATGGGAGGAGGTGTGGGCTGACTCAAAGACTTTCCTGAAAGGAAAAATCATCATGAGATTAGAAAAGCTGGTTTAGTCAGTTCACAGAGAGAAGCTGCCGTCTGTGTGAACCTAGAAGATCTTCATGATGACGTCTGGTCAGTAACTGAGAAAAGGAAGTCGGGACCTGGCTACACCTAGACATGGAAGCACACTGACTTAAAAACTATTGATGCTCTTCCCCAGTCAACAGGTACCTGTCTCATACCTTCAATCAATCCTGTCCTACCTTAGCAAACTGAGGAAATGTCAGTGGTTCTACAGGAGCAGATTTATTTTATGATGAAATTAGCACAACAGTCAGCGCTGATGACCAAAACATGGAAAGGTCACTGCAAAAGAATCTGCTTCACCAACTCCAAATTTCTACCAATTCAAAAAACTGGAGTCTAGTTATTGTTTGTCAGTGTAAGAAAAGTGAGTTTCAAAAAAGATTTTTGTTCAAATCCAATATGGTTTTTGAAAATGGAAAAGAAATTTCTGCTGGGCACTTGGGAAGCACTCATCAGTGAGCAGGAAGGAAGCATCCTGCACAACAGGCGGCCACGTACTGCTGCCACCGCGGGACTTCTCCATGAAAGGCGCATGGGCTGGCTCTATGATCTTCCTTTTGTACGTCTTGGTGACCCGGTCCACGTCAGGCTGTTTGCGAGTCATCTCCTCCATAAATGTCTGTTAAACACAAACAACAAGGAAAAGGGTTGAGAGTTTTCTTGGACTAAGATGGAATTAGGCAACTTCTTACTAACAAGGGCCAAGCCTGTGACAGATGGAGCAACTGCAAATGCCTTCGTACACGGCTGCACTCCTTTCAAGAAACATGATTGTGGCCTTGAGTGAGGCACTTCATCAGGTTCTGGAGACCTGAAGGAATAAGACATGGCTCTGACTTCCAGGAGCTCACAGCTGAGTGAGGAAACCAGGCAGTCAGAGCAATGAGTGGCACCCAGGGCTCCGCAAGAAGGCCTAGGACAGGTACCCACAACCCAATGTGGGGAGAAAGGCTGCCCGGAGGCTGGTGCCTGAGTTGTGTGCTGCAGGATGAAGAATGAGCCAAAGGCTGGGGGCAGGGCAGTCCCACGGAAGCCTGACAGTGGAGCGAGCCAGAGCCCTGCTGATCACTGGCTGAGGATACAATCAGAGGAGAGGCAAGAGGGACAGCTGGAGAGGCAGGCAGGAGAAGGGTCCAGAAAGGCCTTGTGTCAGGCTAAGGGACTGGGGTTTTATTCTGAGAGCAATCTGTGTGTGTGCGGGGGGGAGCGCGGGGGGCGGTGTTTACAGGTGGGTGGGCAACTGAAGGATTCCGATCTAGAGAAGAGACACAATCAGATCTCTGTTTTAGAGCTATCATTCTGGCCTCAGTGTAGGAGGGAGGATGGAAAAGGGGGAGGCAGGCAAGTTGGGAAGCCATTGCAGTAATTGAGGCAAAACACAGTGAGGGGCTGAGCCGGGGCAGGAGAGAAGGAGCCAAGAAGTATTTTGAAAGTAGGACAGGTAAGACCTGATGACTGGCTAAATGTAGGGGGTAAAGAAAAAGGAGTCACTCCTGTGTTGGGTGACTGGCTGGATGAGGAGAGAGGAGGCAGGTGCGCAAGGGAGGGGTGGGGTCAGGGCCAGCAAGCAGGGATGAAATGGAGTTTTAGAGCTGCCTCTAGCTTCCTGCATGCTGCAGACAAGCCAGGAGATGTGGAAGCCCTGGGTGTACAGGTGCTGGCTGAAGGTGTCAGGCCAGATACAACCTCAGGTATGAGACCTCAGGTCAAGAATGGAACTTCGGGGAACGTTAACAAGTGGATAGAGGAAGTGGAACCAGCTAAGAAGACTGAGAAAGAGTTGTCAGAGAGATGGGGGGACACAAGAGGGGGGAGCTTAAAGGCATGAGGAATGAGAGGTGATAACAGAAGGGAGAGGGACTGGCCCTGATGGAAGAAGATAATCTCACTCAGGAGAGAAGGGGTCAACGTAGGTAAACTTGATGGGAAGTACAGGGAGTCCTCACTGGCCAGGCTAATTACATATGCTAAAAAGACCTTATGTCCACAGTATAACTAGGCAAGATCCATGCTTGCATTTGGTGTAAATTATCATGGTTAAAAACCAAATTTGTCTCCTAACTGAGCTTTCCTCTGTTCAGTTTAGTTTGATGTGTTGTCTGGCCCATCTCTGAGTACATGCAAGACGTCTTTCTGAATCCAGGTGTAATGGGATAGGTCCCAAGTAATGGGACCTTGGCACAGAGGCAAGTCAATAGAAACAGGATGCGGCAGGCAGATTTCTAAGCCAGGCCCCAAGACTCCTGACATACATGTCCTGTGTACTCTCCCCCTCAAGTGTGGGCAACACCTGTGGAAAGCGTGGGCAGCCACTCCCTGGATTATGGGTTTTTAAAAAAAAAATAATTAATTAATTAATTTTTGGCTGGGTAGGCTCTTTGTTGCTGTGTGCAGGCTTTCTCTAGCTGCAGCGAGTGGGGGATACTCTTTGTTGTGGTGCGTGGGCTTCTCACTGCGGTGGCCTCTCTCGTTGCGGAGCATGGGCTCTAGGCGCACGGGCTTCAGTAGTTGTGGCTTGCGGGCTCCAGAGCGCAGGCTCAGCAGCTGTGGCGCACAGGCCTAGTTGCTCTGTAGCATGTGGGATCTTCCCGGACCAGGGCTCAAACCCGTGTCCCCCGCGTCAGCAGGCGGATTCTCAACCACCGTGCCACCAGGGAAGCCCTGGATTACGTTTTATTATATAAGATCTGTCAGAGCAGGATGGAGGGTCTCCTGCTGGCTTTGAAGATAGACGCTGCCATACTGTGAGACTGCCGTGTGCCTAAGACCTGAGGGTGGCCTCCAGGAGCTGACAGCCAGCGAGAAAAGGGAGACCTCCATCCTACACTGCAGTGAAATGAACGACACCAACAACCTGAAAGAGCCTGGGTGGGAACTGCAGTGTTGGCCGACACCTTGATTTCAGCCTGGTAAGACGTCCCCTGGTCCCCTAGACGGAGAACCAACTACTTCAGGCCCAAAGTCCCGCCCCACGGAAACTCTGAGACAGTAAGCATGTTTTAAGCTGCTAAGTCTGAGGGAGTATGTTCAGCAACAATTAAAGCACGGATGCACAGGGCCAAGGAAACGGGCTCCATGAGCCATGCAGGAAACATGTGACCATACGATGTGGTGAGGATACCTGATGCTCAGCGATAAGGGCTTTAACTCGGTCGATGTTCTGAGGGATTGGCTCCTGATCCCGTTGAATGAGGGTGGTCTCGGCCCACTGGATCCACGCCAGAAGTTCTTCCAAGAGCTCGGCGTTGGCCACCAGTTCTGACAGGGCGGCTTCGAGGCGCTGCTGGTGCTGCTTGGCCCACGTCAGGACCTGCGGGGGAGGGAACCCGTCGGCTGTCAGCCAAGCACATCCCTCGTTTTCAAAGCCCTTTTTTGTGTGAGCCTAACAATGACTTTTAGGGGAAAGACCACCCAAGCAGTCAAGAGGCTTCACTCTTATTCTGGAGACAGAGCTGGAGTAAGAAATCAGCTCCCCTGAAACCAAATGTGGCACGTGGTATTAGACACAGAATTCTCAGGAAGGAGGGAAGAACACACCACGTCTCCACCGGCGTCATCAAGGAACACATCACAACACCAGCACCACCCTTCCAGGTTTCTGCACATTACCAAGAAAACAGTCACTACTAAAATGCGAATAACTTGATTCTTGTTGAGATATTCACAGTGAGTGAAAGATTCCTTACGTGGGGGTGGGGAAGCTCTGGAGTATTTTACTGCTGTTCACCCATTTTACGGGGCACATGCGGTCTTCCTCTAAAATTAGGAACTCACCTCCTCAAAGCGAGCCCGGATGATGGTGATCCAGTGTTTGATGGTGGTGATGCAATCAGGATGGCAGACCACCAGGATGACTTCTCCCATGGTCACTGCTGTGTTAACATCCACGCGCTTTTCTTCCACTTTCTTCATGAATTCCTAAACAAACAAGATTTGAAATCAAAACCTTAAACCTAGTCTAGCAGCGCTGTTAGTTTACACTGAGAGGGGTAAACAACTTTAGTGTGTTTTTCGACTCTGTTGACACAGAGCTCTAAAAGCCTGCATTTAGGCATCTCTGTCATTTTCTTTCCAGTTCTCAGAGGTGGGGGGAAGCGAGGGATTTCACAAAGATGACTTTCTCTGCACAGATGATAAGGACTAGAGAGACACAGGCATGACCCTTTTCCTGATCTCTCTCTCTTTTTATAAATTCCTGCTTGGATTCATTTCCATATGTGTAAATGGTGTTCTCTTGGACACATATAGTGACAGCTACAAAACAATACATTTTTGTTGTTGTTCAAGATGAGATAGGAAAAAGATTATGAATACTACTAGAACAGAAGGCAATCGAATGACCATAGCTTTTCTCCTGGACTCAGAGACCAAGTGTCCTTCCTAACAACCAGAGAGGAAGCTCCTGAAGACACACGTCTGGGAGTTCCACCAGCTCCCAGCCCTGTCTTCCCATCAGAATCACCCCAGTGCCTCAAGCCCCTCTTCCCAAACTTCATATATGCACATTACATTACAAATTTCAAAGGCAAATAATCTGCTTTGTTGCCAACACTACAACATTTTAAAAATACCTACAACACAATGCAACGACAAAACCATGATTAAAATCTCTCGGTGGGAAACACCAAAATTAAAAAAGGAAACATTTCCCACCTTGTTAGCACAGTCACACTGAAGCCCCAGACACTGTATTATATTCTGCAGCTTGGTGAGCAGTTCTAGGGGCACAGATCAGGGCCTGGAGCTGGTAACGTAAGGAAAGTCACACAAGGTGTGTGCAGGTGGGGCATAAAGGTAGAGCAGCCCGTGTTTTCCTCTATATTAACACCAGCTGTCTGACTTGTTTACAACCAGCATGTGCTACTTTTGTAAGAATGCGCGGATGAGTGGTCTTTAAGGGGTCACAAAACCCACCAATCGTTTCCCTCTCATTCCTGATAATGAGTAAGCTGGGCCCATTCTGGCTTTGCTCCTTTTCACATGAGGTCTAACGTTTCTAAGCAAAAGCTGCTTTCCGTTGCTGGTGTGGCCACCCTCCCCATGTGGGTGGCATGGGTCCCTGCACCCGGGGGATGGATTACCTTATGGGTGTCGATGAGAGACCGCAGGGCCTCTGTGTCATCAGGAAGTGCCCCCCGAAAACGCAGTGTCTGCTCGGCTTCAGAAAGCCACTCCAACAGCATGTGAATTGTGTCCCGAAACTCTTCTGCCTGAAATAACCAAGCACAAGAGACTGAACCTCTCTCTGCAGCCAAGGTCCTGGACATGGTATGCCAGGGAACGGTCTGGCCTGAACTCAATGGAGTACCACAGGCACTTGAAGGCTCTATCAAAGCCCCACAAAGGTCATCTTTCATCTGTGCAACTTGAAAACCCAACTAAATTCATTATTTCTCTTATATGGATGCGGGCTAACATCTTGTTGAGCATTTAGAATATCAATTTTTGACTTTGTGTTCCTTACAAGACTGGCTGAAACCAATCCTGATAAAGAGGCTAGACTGACTCTGCTCAGGCCCAACCCCAGGCGCTGTCTGACCTGTTTCAAGGCCTGCTCAAGCCGGCTCTGTTTGCAGACAGAGAGTTTACACACGGTGTCCCAGCGAGTGCTCAGTTCCTGGAGCTGCCCTTTCACCCAAGTGGTGTCATCTCGACTGTTCTCAATCAGCTCCCGGCCTGATCGCTTTAGGACCTGAACGGTTCCCGTTCGCTTTCCCAGTTCCTTCTGGAAAACCTGGAAAAGAAAACAGGAGAATTGGTTTGTCTTACAAATGTTTTGAATTCAAGAAGTAAAACCACAGAGAAAGTAGTCATTTCCTTCAATTCTCCTTGGCAGGTTCCAATTGTGTGTCTTTTATGCACAGACGGAGGTGGGATCACAAGAAAGAAAGAACCACCACAGGATGTGGCTCTGAATGTGAGAGGCGTGACTTTGGGTAAGCTGCTTAACTGGAGTCCCAGTCTCATCTGTGAAACAGGAGTTATGCTGCACTAGCATCTCCAGAATTGTGGGAGTTTTTTGTTTAAATTAATTTTTATAGTTCATTTAACAATGTTGTGTTACTTTCTGCTGTACAGCAAAGTGAATCAGTTATACATATAAATATATGCACTCTTTTTTAGATTTTTTTTCCCATATAGGTCACTACAGGGTATTGAGTAGAGTTCCCCGTGCTATACTGTAGGTTCTTATTAGATATCTATTTTATATATAGTGGTGTGTACATGTCAATTCCAATCTCCCAATTTATCTCTCCCTCCCCCCCTTCCCCCTTGGTAAGAGCCCACCTGCCACGCACATAAGAATCTGGTGTAACTTCAAGGTAAAGCTCAACGCTTCGTGCTGAAGCAGGAGGACAGTATGTAGTTCAACGTACAGGTGTAGGTTACACTAAATGCTGGTGTGCACGGAGCTGGCCTGTCAGGTTCAGAAGTAGTTTAAAAAACACTCATTTGCATGTTAAGAATCAGTGGAAGTGGATATCTTGAGGGTCTCCTGAATTTAAATCCATTTTGACTCAACTGAGAGATATAAACACGAAACTGAGGGGGGGCCCTCAATGTGAAGTTTACATACTGGCAAATCTGAATCAAACCAACTTTGGTAAATTCCTTGTGGCTGATGCAGAATCCCTGTAACAGTTTGTTTAAACACACAGAGCAGGGAGCTGCCTCTCTGACAAGCAGAGACACAGGCTCTTTCAGACTTTCTTTCTAGGGGAGCCGTACAAGGGTACCATGAGCTGAAGGCACACACAGGTGCAGGACCCAACGGCTTTGCCCTCCACGCAGCCCAGATCTCGCCCCTCACCTTGTGGGCATCCATGAGGTTCATGACGAGGTCCAGGTCCCCGTGCACAGGCTGGTCCTCAGCCAGCTGCGGCTCTACCTTGTACAACCAGTCCACCAAGGCCTGCAGAGCGTCCATGAACTGGCCCGAAAACAGCAGGGCCTCCTCCAACTTGTGCTGCCTGAGAAAAGCACACAAACTTCACTGGTTAGTGGTTCTTTTATGAATGGCTCACAATTCTGACCACTGAACAGGAGTACTGCTTGAACTTTATCTAGAGAGGGACTGCTGTGTTAGAACAGTTAGAAATACTGTAAAAAGTGACTAAGAGATGTTTAGACATTTTAAATTAAACCACTCTCTAAAATGGATTAAGCATAGTGCAGGAGACCGGTGTAGATGCCCTTCTGGCATTTTAGAGTCCAACTGCTATGCACACGGTATGCTATGCACACCCTACAACCCAAGGTCTTTTTATTTACATTACACCACTCCAGTAGAGGGTGGTGGCTCTATTAATGATTTGGAGCCAGGAGTTCAACTCCTAACTCTCCACCAGTTGTGAGACTCTGGCTGTCTCTTTGAACCTCAGTCACTTCATCTGAAAAATTGGGAGTACAAATAATACAGAGGTATCATAATGCTTACATAGCATAGCTGGTACAAGTGGATAAAAGTACAACTTTTAGAACCAAATCTCAGCTCTGCTGCTTAGTAGCTGAGTGAGCATGGGGGCGTTAAGAAACCTCTTTGTGACCATTTCCTCATCTGTAAAATGGGAAGAACAGTACCCACACCTCAGTGGTTGTTGTGAGGATTAATGAGCCTCAAGATGGTTAAATGAGATACTACATTGGAGGCTTTGTACAGTGTCTGACACAAGAGACACTCAGTGAGACAGCTACTGGCATTACAAATTTGTGATTTACATGTATTTAGAGTTACAGATCTTCTTTTACTGTTGGCCTGATTTTATAGGCTTCTCTCTTTGTAATACAGTAAAGGTTCAAGTTTAAAATATGATAATTTTAATATATCTGATTCAAATTATTTCATAACTCTCACTGAATTAACTGGAGATAGCAAGATGCTACTGTTACTGATACATTAGCTTTATTACCACTTTCTAGAATCCTGTCACTGTCTCCTGGTTACTTTGGGGATAACGCACAGATCCACGAAAAGGGACATTTCACACTCACCTCTCCACAGACTTGCCACAAACAGTATCCCATTTGTCTCTGACTTCTCCCAGTAAGTTGTCAAGTTTCTGAGTGTCATCAGGAAGCAAAGTCTTTTCTTTCAGTGCTCTGCCTGTTCTAATCGTGGTATCATACACAGGCTGTTTGCCACCAAGAGTTTTCTGGAACTCCTGTTCTCAAAAAGATTTAAAAAAAAAAAAAAAAAA